CCGCTGTGCCCAGGCTCCTGCACAGCTTGGCCGACGGCGCGCACGGTCTAGCCGACGCGCCCCTCGGCCTCCCCGGGCTGGCGGCGCCGCCGGGCCTGGAGGATCTGCAGGTGAGGCCCGAACGTTCCGGGATGGGCCAGGAACGACCGTGGTGATTTAGGACTCTGGCTGGAGACAGAGTGACGAATGCAGGAACTCGACTTTTTCCCAACCTGCCACTTCTCACTCGTGACTCCGAGGATGTGTCCCACGACCTAGGTTAGATGCTCCCTGGCCATTAAGGCGTCCTGGCACTGAGTCCGTGCGCGGTGCCTGGATGGCAGCAAACCTCAGCGGGATAAATGCGCAGGGTCTAAGGTACTTCTCTCCCTCACCGCTGGGCCACGTAGGGCATTTGTGCCCAGTCCCAGGCTGTTGGGGCAGCTTGTGTCTGGAGCGAAGAGAGGCAGAGGAGTTGCCGGTCTACGGTTTACAATTCCCTTACTGCACGGTGAGGTACCCAGGGCCCAGATCGGCTGCACAAAAGGTGCGGAGCCTCGGCGAATCCTGGTCCCGCCCGTCGCCGCCCCAGGCAACGGTGGTGCGTGTTGGGTGGAGCAGACAGGACAGAGACCAGGGACAGACAGGAAGGGCTGGGAGAGCGACAGGAGACTAGATCCACAAGCGCCCTTACCACCCCGCTCCTATTTGCAGGCCATGGATGAGCCAGGAATGAGTCTTCTGGACCAGTCCGTGATCAAGAAAGGTAAGGAATGGCGTGTATCTGCCAGGGCAGAACCCGGCGAGATGGTGCAGGCCCTGGGCGCACAGATCAATTTCTTCTCCATGGAGCGTGCCTTGTGCATCGCCCGGCTCGGTAGCCGCCTGCACTCTTCCTTGCCCAGTAGAGGGGCAGTGAAGGCTGGGGATCCTGGTCGGTGCTTGGGCAGCTGCCCTCGTTGGTGAGTTGGCCTCAGAGCCTGCGGCCTGGGATGGTCCCGAGTCCATCAGGGCTCACTAGGCTGCCCGGGCCAGCCAAGCCACTCAAGGACCAGGCCTCTCCCTACTGAGGAAAGGGCACTCTTGTGGATCTGGAGTTCATCTGCAGAACGAGTTAAACCACTTCCCTGTTTCCTAAGAGGTGGGAATGTGGGTGCTGTTCCCACGGATTTCGTTAAATGAGTTCCACTTTACAGAGCCTTACCATGTGCTAGCCTGACAAGCAGTTTCTGCCCCTTCCTTTCCAGCCTTGGGGGCCTTGCGTTTCCCTGGAGAATTTTCTCTCCAAGCGGGAGCCTCCTTCGCATTTAGGATTAGTGGAGCTGGTGCGTGAATATCCTGTTAGGCCCTGTGCAGGACGGTGGGGGCCCACCTGCTCCTGGGTGTCTGTGTGAGTTCCGGGTCTTGTGCATGTCTGTGTGTTCCTTTGCTAAGTGTCTCTCTGGTATTTTGTGTTTCTGTTGCTGTGAGTGTGTGTGACACGTTTCTATTATGTTGGTGTACATTTCTGTGTTTTGGGGGGGTCTCTCTGTGTGTGAGGGCCTTCGTTGTGCCCCGGGATTTGTCCTTTGGTACTGATGATCCCTAAGCATGTGAAGGTTGCTCCTGTGTATTTTGGGGGTCGGGGGTGTTTGTGCCTTTGCAAACAGAGATTTAAGACCTGCCCTAGAGTGGATTTTCTAGCCTGAAGACTGAATTCTGGCTGTGCCAGGGAAAGGTGAGAAAAAGAGAGACAGAGACAGAGAGAGAGATTCCGAGGGGTCCAGACGTTGGGCAGGCAGGCTCCTTAGATTTGGGGCGGGTGCGCAGGAGGAATTCGGAGGCGCAGACAAGCCCTCGGTGCCTGGGGCAGGCGTGGCTCCTGTGGGATTTGGCTCCAATTGCTTTTTTTTCAACAGTGAATTCAAGCCCGGGCTCTGTTTTCGCTCCACGTGTTCCCAGGGGAGTGGGGGTGGAGGTGTGCAGTTCAGAACCCAGCTCTTTGGGGTCGGCACTGCCTTTGGCTTAGTGGACTTTTTTGAACCCATCGGAAGGAAAAGCCTGCAACTGAGATGTGTCCACCGAGAGATGTGATCATGGTCTCAATCCCCAGTTTCTTTAGTGGACTTTTTTGAACCCATCGGAAGGAAAAGCAATTGGCAAAGAGCCTGCAACTGAGATGTATCCACGGAGAGATGTGATCATGGTCTCAATCCCCAGTTTCGGACTCCTGCCAGGACCCCAGGGGCTGGGGAGCCTAGGCTCACTGACTCCATGACCCTTTGGGGGAAGCAAGTCCCCTCCCTGCATTTGGGGACCTCTGCCCTGGGGAAGGGTGGAAAGATCACCTGGGGCTCTGAGTACCTTAAACCCCAATCCCCAAATCAGAGCCAGGACAGGAGACTGGTTACTAGGAGGGACTGGAATTGCCCCAAGCTGGTTTCTCTCAAGGGACATCAATTTCCGTAATTTCCGGATCCTGAATGTGCTCCAGAATCCCCAAAGGTGGTCCCAAGGAACACACCTGAGTGAGGCCAGGACTGCCGGGAGTGCTGCCCACTAGCTCCCCGGGGGGCAGATGTGGGTGCGGGTGCGGTGCGTCGCGGGTGCGGTGTGTCGCGGGCGCGGGCTCGCACACCAGTTGGATCACGGTGTCAGCCTGTTGGTACCCGAGTGCAGCGAGGTGAAGCGCCGGCGATCTGAGCTGGGGACTGCGCCCTGGACACCCTACCCTAGACATCAAGTCAAAGCCCAGAGCGCTGCGGAAAAGGTGGGGGATGAGAGCCGGTGGCTCCCTGCGGAAGGAAGCGCCTGGTCCCCGAGCCTAGAGCTTGGCCTTCTGCTGGCGCGACAGGCCTGTAGGGAGGAGAGCGGGTAGTGCCGGAGCTTTCAGGCTTTGCAAACGCGGAAGCAGAGCTGATCGCCGGAGGTCTCGACCTACGGGATGCATGGTGGACGACCGAGTGGAGCCTTTGTGGCTAAGCAGGTGGCCCAGCTGGAGCCCTGCTGGACTCTGGCCCCTCGCGGGCCGTGAATTAGCACCCTTCTTCACTCTCAGGCCCTTCAGAAGGCATCAGGAGCCCATGTCGAGTCCTGAAGTCCTCTGGCACCTGCCGGGGGCTGTGAGGAAACACCACTCCAGCCCAGGCCCTAGAATTCTGGAAAGTCACTCACTCTTGGCTATCTGAAACATCCTATTCCTCCAGCTCCTCCTGGCCCTAGAGGGAGGGGTGGCTGTGTCCCCTGCGGTTGGAATCCTGATTGCGAATAGCAGGCAGCCCCAGCCCTATCCCAGAAGCATCCTTCCTACCTCCGGGTGCTGCCAGGAAGGAGAGCCTGGAAGTTCTCTGAGCCCAGAACTCTTGTCCTGGAGGGGAAGGGAGTACCCTGCCCCACAACACTCTTCCAGGCCCGCCACCGCTTGCAGCCACGGTGTGGGTCAGGGGATGGCAGATGGGACCCACGCGGACCTGAGAGGAAGCAGGAGCCCTCCATATTTTTTTTTTTTTTTTTTGCCCACATTTGTTACCTCCAGTTTTGCGACCTGCCCAAGGAGCACAGAAAGCAGGCCGAACTGATTGGGGAGACAGACCTGGACAGGAATAGTTTCCAGCGGACAGAGGCAGCGAGTGGGTCTGTACATGTCCTGGTGGGAGCTCAGAAGAGGAGCCGAGAGAGCGCCTGAGGTTGGGAGGCTTCCTGGAGAAGAGACCTTAGAAAGCAGCTCCATAGGCGCTCAAGGGGTGTTTGTTGAATGAATGATTGATGGATGGGTTTTGAAGTCTCATTGCATTGGGAGAGGGGGTGTAGAAAGGGTCTAGCTGCTTTCGCCACACTAGGTCCAGCATGTGCAAATGCCCTCACCTGTGGCAAAGCCTGGCAGGTTAAAAATGTTCCTGGGTTTCAGGTTAAACAGTCACATCTGCAAGAGTGTTTTGGGGATGAGAACTGAGATGCCCCTCCTTCCCTTGGAGGAGAGTGGGTTACCTTGTTGGGGGCAGGGAATCCCTCTCTGCTGCGCTCTGCTGTCCAGTCTCAGAGCTTCTGGGGAGGGGGGAGGGTGGTGCTGATGTGAATCGCCATCCTCTCCTCTGCTGGAGAAGGAAAAGGGAGAGGGGAGGGTCTGGGCTTTCAAGTGAATCTTCAAGCAGGGCCAGGCCTAGGGTGAGGTATTTGCCTTCGAGGCAAGATTTGGATAAATAATATATCCAAAAATATATATCTTAATGTGATATTTTAAAATAAAAAATAATGCAAAAAATCCATGATAAAAAATATATCAAAATTTTACGTAAAGACCGATCTGACCCTGTATTCTCACACCCCTGCCTCACTTGCCTCCCATGCAGGTCACTGTCTGCCCCATAAAGAGACGGAGCAGTGCCTATGCAGATAGAGTTGAAGGGTACCCGAGGGCAACAGAGAGCAGGAAAGTGAAGGGTAGGAGCTATATTTCAAAGAAAGCTGCTGTTAGTGAGAAGGAAACTGAACCAGCAGGCCCCACTGGGGGAGATGTGGAGACTCGAGTGGTCTGGGAAGGGGGTCACTATCCCTCCTGGGTACCTTCCCGGTGCTGTCCCCCAACCCCCAAGGCTTTAGACCAGTTGTACTCTAAGTGTGATCTAAGGAGCCATGTGCATCAGAATCCCATGGGGGGACTTGTTTGAAAATGCAGATTTCCTAGGTACCACCCTACATCTACTGAAGGAGAATCCCTGGAATGCCCTGGAGCACCCTGGAACTTGCGTTTTTAACGGATTTATAGAAGTAACATTTACATACTCAAATTCACCCATTGTTAAGACTATAATTTAATAATTTTTAGTAAATTTATAGAGTTGCATAATCAGAACCACAATCCATTTTAAGACATTTCCATCACCTCCCCAAAACTCCTTCATTCCCATTTGTAGTTAATCCCCCTTCCCACTCCAAGCCTTAGGCAACCACTGATCTGCTTTCTGTTTATAAATTTGCATATTCTGGATATGTTGTATAAATGGAATATATAAATATTCAGACTTTCACATCTAGCTTCTTTTACTTAGCAAAATGTTTCAGGGTTCATCAATGTTGTAGCATGTATCAGTAGTTCATTTTGTTTTTTTATTGTTGAGTAGTACTCCATTGTATGATGTAACACATTTTGTTTATTCATTCATCAATTGGTGGACACTGGGTTGTTTCCACATTTTAGACTATTATGAACAATGCTGCTATGTTCATTCACATACATGTCTTTTGTGTGGACATATGTTTTCATTGCCCTTAGGTAAATTCCTAGGAGTGGCAATGCTGGATTTTATGGTAAATTTGTGTTTAATTTTTTAAGAAAATGCCTACCTGTTTTCTAAAGCAGCTGTTCTACTTTACATTCCCACTAGCAATGTGTGAGGGTTCCAGTTTCTCCATATCCACACTAACACTTGACGGGTCTATCATTTTTGTTATGACCTTCCTAGTTGTATCTCAGTATAGTTTTAATTTGCATTTCCTTAATGACTAATGATGTTGAGCACATTTTTCATGTGCTTATTAGCCATTCACATATCATTTCTAGTAAAATGTCTATCTACATATTTTGATCACTTTCTAATTAGGTTATCTTATTAGTGAGTTATAAGTTCTTTATATATTCTGGATACACATCCTTAATCAGGTATGATTTGACAAAATTGTCTTCAAGTTTGATTGTCTTTTTATTTTCTTAATAGTGTCTTTTGAGGTATAAAAGTTTCAAATTTTGATGAAGTTAAATTTATCATTTTCTTTTATAGATCATGTTTTTGATATTGTAGCTAGGAACTCTTTGCCCAACCCAGGGTCACAAAGATTTTCCTTTTCTATGTTTTCTTCTAGAAGGAATTGCAATCTTACCAGTTTCCTGGGAGAGTCTGTTGTATACGCTCCAGATTCAGTGGTCAGACCATATATCTACCCGCTACAGATAGAGTGTGTGAGAGTCTTGTCTAACAGGTTGAATAACTGGGAGCTTTTGTATCTGTAGGAGCACATAGTATATGCGAATGGCTTCTGCTTGTGTGACCAGGGGGACGCCATAAGTAGACCACTTTAGCTTCAAGAGTCACTGTGGTTTGGAAGACAAACACCAGTGTCCCTGCTTTGCAATCTGTGCTAGCTTAATTTCCATCTCCATGACTGTCCCTTCCCCAGGCTACCTGCTTCCCTTACCTTGAGTTCCATCCCTCTTACCATTTTTGAGGGAAGAGGCCCTGAGGAAAAGGGGAAGGACAAATGGGGAAAACAAAAAAAAGCCTCTCATTCATATACACAAACACGTGTACACCTGTCACTTACCCATACTCAGCTGCACCTATGTTTGCATAAATCTGGGATACACTATATTTAAATTTATCGACAGGAGCAAAAACACTTGCAGATATCCCTATGCATGCTGCCACATTCCTGCAACACTCAAGGAGGGCAGAGACTGTCTGTGTGTATAGCTGGGGCTCAGTATTTGCTGAGTAAGTGTGCACATGCACAATCTCACCCTCATTATTCTATGACAGAGCATACAATTTTTGTGTAGTCATTTTCGTGACACACATATGTTCACCTTGTCTCTGTCTGCACACATACAAATAGCCTCACGCAGCTTTGGTCCTTCCCTCTCACACAGCCTGGCCTCAGGGGGCCCCAGGTTGTAATAGAAGTTGGACAGAAGAGGCTGCTGGAGGAGAGAAGAAATCTCTGTTCCTCTGACCGCTCCCTCTGGCTAGGAGTCATGGGAGGGAGGACAGTCTTTATTTTTAATTTAATTGTCGTTTTATTTTTTAAGTCAATTGTAAGGTATAATTGACATACAATATAGTTCACTCTCTTTTTAGATGTACATTTCTATGAATTTTGATAACTGTAAACATATATATAGTCATATAACCATGAAAACAATTAAGATATAGAATAGTTCTATCACGCCCAAAAAATCTCCTCAAGGCAGAAAGACACGGGTAAAAACGAAACTCATGCGCAGGCCTGGGAGACACAGAGTGGGAGGCAGGGATGGCTTCTGCTGCTTGTCCAATGTCAGTGTATCTGTGAGTCAGGACATCCTTGCTCCTTGCTCTGGGGGAGGGCTGGGTCTAGGGTAAGGTGAGTGAAGCAGGGTTGTGCAAGAGCAAGATCAGAGCCTGTGGCTGATTAAAATTTGGTATTTTGTCATCATGGAGTTTTTCATTGATTTTTATTTTTTAATATTTTATTAAAATACTATTTATCTTGATTACTGAGGGGTTTGTTGTTGTTGTTGTTGTTGTTGTTGTTATTGTTGTTGTTGGGTTTTTTGGTGCCTCCTTAAATTTTGCACCCAAGGCAAGTGCTTCACTACCCTCACTCTACTTTTGGTCCTGTTCTGGGGACAGGGAACCGGTCTGGGGAAGAGTGTGTGTGCTGGTCATTCTCTCCACACCCCCACACCTCCACTTCTCCCACTCACCCCCCTTCCATGACCTGAATGGGGACCCAGGGAGAAAGAGCAGTTTCACTATTAGGTGCTAACAAAGGAATGAGGCTGCCCAGTGCCACCCCACCCCCCAAATCTGGACTGTGGGCCATTACTCTTTTTCTCATTTCAGGTTTCAAGGGCCCTTGCTTCACTCATTTATTCCACATTCACTGACACCCACTTGTGCGAAGACTCTGCCCTCAAGGCACTCCTAGTTGGTGGGGAAGATGGAGGTGGAAGCAGATGTGAAGGTTCAGTGTGTAAGGACAATGACGGAGGGTGAGAGGGAGCTGGGAGGGGGGGCCCAGGGAGCTTTGCACCTGGGATGGTACCTAAATGAGGCTTGAGAAGGAGGGAGCTCAGTGAAGTGGACAAGGGCCCCTGAAACAGGCAGCGAGCAGGAAAGGGGGCTCACAGAGCTCACACGCCCAGGCGGCGCTTCACACGTGGTCTGTTTGGTCAGCACTGGGTTTTTAAACATTTGGATCCGTTGCCAATGTTTAAAAACAGAGAGATTTCACACAGAAATCCAGAATCCTTGTCTCCCCAGGAAAAAAAAAGAAAAAACAGGAGTTCTGACAATGTCGGTGTGTCCTGCATGATAACACCCAGTGAGTAGTGGCTTTACACAGGCCAGTGCCAGTCACCAGTCCCCCACGTCCTTCGGATTTATGTCTCCTGTTGTGCTCTGCCCGCTTTGAAGTCTAGAGCTGTGTTGTTGCTGTTCACTGGGGGAGCCACTAGCCACCTGGAGCTTTTGGGCACTTGAAATGTGGCCAGTCTGAATTAAGATGGGCTGTAAGCATAAAAATACATTGAATTTTGAAGAATAAGTACAAGAAAAGTATGTAAAATAGCTCATTAGTAATTTTTAAAATGTCGATTATGTTTCAGTGATATTGGGCTAAATAAAATATTAAAATTAACCTTACATGTTTCTTTTTACTTTTTTAAAAAATGGGACTATGAGAAAAATGGAAATTTACATCTGTGGCTTGCAGTATATTTCTAGTGGTCAGTGTGGGTCCAGAGGCTAAAGGACAAATGGGGGACGAGGCAAGAGGGGTGGGCACAGCCAAACCACAGGGAGGAGAAGGGAGGGCATGACGATGGTTAAGGATGTGAACTTTGGAGCCCACGACTGGAGGTCGAGACCCTTTTCTACTCCTTATTGCTGTGCTGTCTTAACCTGTTTTAGTTTCTTCATTTTGAAATGGGGCTGGATAATAGACCCAGTCCACAGAGCTATTGACGTAAAGCACTTGATACATATATATAGTCGCCACTCCCCGAAGGAGAGGCGATATTCCATCCAGCTCGGAAGCTGGAATGTGGTTCTCAGGGAAGTGACCAGGCACTGACTGGTTTTAGGCTGGGGAGTGATACAGATGTTTCAGAAAGATCCCTCTGGAGCAAGGCAGGGAGACCAGAGCAGGGGCTGTGCTGACATTCATGTGAGAACTTAGTGAGCTATGTGTGCACACACGTGGGGAAGTAGCTGCATGCAAGGCATGTGGAGAAATGAGAGCCGTAGGACATGGTAATGGATGGATGTGGTGTCAGAGGGCAGTGTGGAGGGCACATCACTGAGGTTTCTGGCTGGGTGACCGGGTGGAGGGTAGGGATGAACATCCAGAGAGGCAGAAGCTGGAGGGGCTCTGCCAGGCCAGGGACAGGGTCAGCCTTGCCTTCCTCTGCATTTCCAAGGCCTAGCACAGTTCCTGGCACACAAGTGCTCAGCAAATATTTGCTGAATGGCTGATGAGCTAAGAGTGTGCTGCCTTTGGGACCATAGTCCAGGGCTTGCGCCTGGTTCCAAATCTATCAGCTGTATAATGTCAGGTATACTACTTCATCTCTCTGGGTTTCAGTTTCCTCATCTGTAAAAAAAGGAATAATAAATGTAGCTCCCTTGTGGGTTGTTCAGAGGATTCAGTGAGGTTGTTGGTGTCAGCACATAGCATAGTGAGTGCTCAGTAACTGTTGGCCCCAGATGCCCACTTGATCTCCCCAACCAACACACACAGAAGGCCTGCCTTATCTACCACTTTTTTGAAAGAAGCTCCAGGGAAAACAAATGCCTTAATTATTCTCCCTTTCCCCTGAGGCCGAGCAGGAGGGGGGAGGTTAGACTGCAGGAAGAACTCTTTTTTTAGAGCCACAAGTATCCAAGTGGGTTGTAGAGAATCAGCTTCTCAGATTCCCTTCCCTGCCCTTCATAGATATTAGAAGATCATTAGAGAGCACTTCAGGGAGGGGGCTATTAAGTACGTCTCTTTCTTCCTAGTCTCCTAGAGCATCCCAGAATGACTTGGCAGGAAGGGGCCAGGGACGGAGGCTTAATGGAGCCATAATGTCCTTGTCCCCGGGTTGTGAGAGTCCAAAGCCCCCAGGTCCCTCACTGATCTGGGGGTGGGGAAAACATGGGGATCACAGTGGACAGAGGTGAGCTGGGGACTCCTTGTGACTGTGCAGATCTCTCTACAGAGACCGGGAATCCTGCCTCCAGCTCAGACTCCATTTCCTCTCTGACTGCAGATGCCTAAACTCCAAGGCTCTGTTGAAGCTGTTTGAGTTTTCACAGAGAACTAGCCTGGCTTAGTGAAGGGAACATGGGTTCAAGAGCCAGACAGCCTTGGGTTCAATTTCCACCACCATTAGCTGAGTGAACTTGGGAGAGTCATGTTAACTTTGATGTGCCTCAGTTTCTTCCTTTATAAAGCATGGATAGCAGAACCTTCCTCTGAATGGTGCTGGGACGTTGACATGTGGCTGTGTGTGCCCAGGAAGTAGCATGGTGCCCTGAACACAGCTGGTACTTTATCAATGTGCTCACTCCAGAACTGGCTAGTGGTCTGTGGTCCGTGGCTCATTGTTCTCTCTCTCTCCCTTGCTCTTGCTTCTGCTCCACAGTCCCCATCCCTTCCAAAGCCAGCAGCCTCTCAGCCCTCTCACTGGCCAAAGACAGCCTGGTTGGCGGCATCACAAACCCCAGTGAGGTCTTCTGCTCCGTGCCAGGCCGGCTCTCACTGCTCAGCTCAACATCCAAGTACAAGGTGACAGTGGGGGAGGTCCAGCGGCGACTCTCGCCTCCTGAGTGCCTCAATGCCTCGCTCCTGGGAGGTGTCCTTCGCAGGTAGGAAGGCCTGCTCACACTCCCTACACAGTGCCTGGGCCAAAATCTGTGGTCATTTCAGACCTTCTTGGTGGATTGGTGAGGGGCCAGCCTCACTCCAGGCCATAGAGCCATCATCTAGCCTCAGATTCCCTGGGGGATTATGCTGCTCTGAGGGCATGCCCAGGCCCCAAGCAGCAACCCCAGGTCTGTGGGCTTGGGATAGGGGAGTGAAGGAAGAAGCCTGAGCACAAAGAAGGGTTGGAGGATTCGTCCACACTGGGCAGGATAGACAAAGCTGGTCTGGAGAAGAGAGAGTGCCATCTTCACCCCCTCCCCCAGAAAAGGAACCCCAGGACCCAAAGCCCATTCCCTAAGGAGGTCTCGCTGATGTGTATATGTTTAGGTCCTTGGTTATCTTCATAGTTGTATATCTGTTTCTCTTTGTGCATGTCCTTTTGCCTGGGTAGGGTATTTGTGCTTCAGGGCTATGAGTTTTGATGGCCTGAGGATGGTGTGTGCATGTGTGTGTGTTTGTGTGTATGTGGTGTAAGGGATGGCCAGGAGGATATGTTTCCATGAGTGTGAGTTTCCTGTGTTATTTTTAGTCGATGTGTTGGCTAGAGTGTGTCCTACTCTGTACATATATATGATCGCATGTCTATCTGGAGCCAGACATATGTATGTTTACATGTCTGTGTCTCTGTGGTGCAGTTGCATTTGTGCAAGTGTTGGAGTATCTCCTTATTCCTGGTTTCTTTGCGCACCCCAGAAGGGCTTGTGTGAATCTGTGTCTGTACATATGTACCTGGGATCCTGACTTAGCGCGAACATGCGTCTCTGTGTCTCTGTGTCCTTATAAGTCCCTGGGTGTCTGAGGCTGTGTGTCTATGCATATGTGTGTCTCTACTGGGGTATGTGTTTATTCTTGGCCCTCAGTGTGTGTTCATCTATGTGTGTGTATCTATGTGTACCTGTGTCTCTTGTGTGTGTCTGCCTGTCCCAGAATCTCTGCGTAAAGGTCTATGTGTATGGCCTAGCTGGCATGCTAAGGTAGAAAAAAGGACCCCAAGTCTTGACCTATCCTGTCCCACCCTGGACTGTTCCTGCTGTTGAGAGGATTAGGGAGAAATGAGGGGGGCCCTTGGGGCTGGATGCTAGGCCCTCTGCTCCCATTTTGGCTACAAAGCCAGTGAAGTTAGGAAGAGGTTAGAACGAGGCTGAAAGAAGTCCCAGAGTGTCCCCAGAGCCAAGCCTCAGCAGGAGTTGGTGGAGGCAGCAAGGTCACTTAGCCTACATGCTTCTCTCTTGTCTTCATAGTGTGTGTCTGTCTGTCTCTCCCTGTGCATGTGAAGGGCCAAGTCCAAGAATGGGGGCCGGTGCCTGCGGGAACGGCTGGAGAAAATTGGGCTAAACTTGCCAGCTGGCCGTCGCAAGGCGGCCAACGTAACACTGCTGACTTCGCTGGTGGAGGGTAAGTGAGGCCTGAGGGTGGGCATTAGCGTGAGCATGAGGGGACCCGTGTCATTAGTATGACTGTGTGTGACTGCCTCTAATGCAGGAGGGTGTGTTTCGTCATGTGTGTTACCTGTGTGTTATGTATAAGTGAGTGGTCTGTGTAATACGTGCATATAGTCGTTATGTGTATGTGTATCGCATGCGTGCATGTGCTTATGCAGTAGATAGAATGTGTGTGAGCGTGTGTGTGTGTGTGCATGGGGGGAAGAGTGGCCAGTGTTTGGATGCAGTAAAGGGGTAAAGGCGTGAGAGTCCTTTCCCTGAAAATTGGAGACTCTAGGCTTGGTCATCTCGAGTCAGGCTCTGGGATATGTGGAGGGCTCAGCTCCCACCCCTGAGCTCAGGGCCCATCCCTGGTGGCCCCAAGAGAGGGCAATGAGATTGTGGCAGGAGTGGGGCTAAGGAGAGAAATCAGAGGAAGGCATCTATATAAGCAATATGAGACAGATGGCCCCTGGCCAGGGGTTCAGAGGTTCAAGGCAGTGCTCCAGGCTCAAAGGTACACCTGTCCACAGTGATGGCTTATCTCTCTACCTCTCCTCTCCCCAGGAGAGGCCATACACCTAGCCCGAGACTTTGGCTACGTCTGTGAGACCGAGTTCCCGGCCAAGGCAGCTGCTGAGTACCTGTGCCGACAGCACGCTGACCCCGGGGAACTGCACAGCCGCAAGAACATGCTTCTGGCCGCAAAGTGAGTGAGAGTGCATGTGTGGGTGCTTTTGGACACCATGGTCAGGCTGTCATGGGTGCCATGAACAGGCACATGTAGGTGCAACGCACAGACACAGACACACGCATGGGCACAAGTGGCACCACACATGGCATACCGAGGCTCCATGCTGTGCTGCCAGAGGGCACACAGGGACATATGTGAACATATCTGGATTCTATGAATCAGCAAAAATAGTGTCACAGACAGGCTTACACAGTCTGTGCCACACCCCTGTGGCATCACCTACCCCAGTCTCATCATTGGGTCTGAGGTTCTGTGGTCTTACTCCCCTTGCCTGAGCCTTGCCCATCAGCCATTCTGCTCTAGTGACTTCCATCAGGGCACAAATGCCTACCTAGGCCCCAGGTTGACTCTCCCTTGTCCTTACTTCACACTTAACCGCTCTGCCAAGTCCCATCAGTGCCACCCTCACTACCATTCAAATGCTGCCACCTCAACTCTGGCCTCTTAATTTCACTCCTGGGCCTTCGCCCCAGCACCCCACAGTTCCCTCAGACTCTCTGCACATGCACTGACTGATCCCCTGCCCAAGAACCTTCAGTGGCTCCCACTGCTACTGCATTGATTTTCAAACAGATCTGTGAGGATGCCTTGAGGTCTATTTTAAAAAAACCGGCATTCTAATAAGATTTCATCTTTAGAAAGGATCCCAGAGAGAGAGAGAGAAGGAAAGATTTTTTTAAAAAAATTGAAAATCACTGATCTGTATGGTAAAGTCCAGATTCCTTTAAGGGCCCCACAATCTGCTGGCACAGACTACGCCTATTCCAACTGATCTACTTGCTCTCTCCTGCCCGCTCATCCTCGGGCTTGCTCTTCTGCTTAGAATACTATCCAGTCTCCCCATCTAATGCGAATCACAACCCCATCCTCCCTCCTTTGAGGCTTCCTCAAGTTCTCTAGGCAGAAGTGGAATCACAGACTCCAGGGACTGCCATGACTCACGGGACCTTTGAGGCTGCTCATATGGTAGCTGGAGAAACATATCTAGGACAGGGCTCATCTCACTTATGAATCAGCTAACTCATCAAGCACTTCTTGGGTCCCAGTCATGTCTAAGGTGCTGACTGGGTTCCATGGTGATATAAAGACACGAGTGATTATTCTGCCTGAGCCATATGCAAGATGCACAAAGAAAAGAATAATGGCCGCAGACTGGAGCTAGATTCAAAACCCAGCTTAGCCACTTGAGTAGATCATCTAACCTATCCGAAACCAGTTTCCTCCTCACACGATGGGGGTGATCATAGCAGTATAGATTTGTTGTGAGGATTAAGTGAGATGATGCACACAGTGTGCTTGGCACATGATCTAGACCCCAATTTATGTTCACTACTAGCTATTATTTCAATTATTCAAGGCAGATTCTGGATTGTTCCCTAATAATTTCAAAGACAAAGCTCTGTGAGGCACTGGGTGTTTGGGATGGGAGTCGGAGTGGGATTCTTATGAATCAGCTAACTCATCAAGCACTTCTTGGGATGGGAGTCGGAGTGGGAGAGGGGATCAAGGAGAGTCTCCTGGATAAGGTAGTGGGGCTGGACTTCGAGTGTGTGCAGGACGTCCACAGGAAGAGATCATAGGGTATTGGCATATACTGTTTACCAGCTATGTAATATGGGACAAGTCAGATAATGTCTCTGAACATTAGTTTTCTTCTCTGTAAAATGGGTATGATTATCATTTGCAGATTATTGGCAGGATCAGAAATCATAAATATATATAAAATGCCCAGCACATGGTGGGCCCTTCTCTGGGCTCGGAACTTTGTCCTCTAACCTCTGACCCTCTTATCCCCCATCAGGCAGATCTGCAAGGAGTTTGCGGACTTGATGGCTCAGGACCGCTCACCACTGGGCAACAGCCGCCCAGCCCTCATCCTGGAGCCAGGAGTGCAGAGCTGCCTGACACACTTTAGCCTCATCACCCATGGCTTCGGTGGGCCAGCCATCTGTGCTGCCCTCACTGCCTTCCAGAACTACTTGCTGGAGTCACTCAAGGGGCTGGACAAGATGTTTCTAAGCAGTGCAGGCAGTGGGCATGGTGATACCAAGGCTTCGGAGAAGGATGCCAAGCATCATAAATAACCACTTCCCTGCCCCATTTTTAAAGGGCTCCCAAGGCCTGAAACGAGGTCATATAGCTCCTGGGGGCAGCTACATCGGAAAGGATTGAAAGGTGGGGTTGGAGTCAGGCCAGAAAGAGAACATTCTTCCAGAAACCCCTCAGTTAGGGATCTGGGTTGGAAAGGCGGGGGTGTCATCTCTGTGATGGTTTATTGCTAAAGGCCAAGGTGTCTGCCTCACGTGTGCAATTTTCTGACCCTGGATTGCTGAGAAGTGCTTGGACAGGAAATTGGCATTGAAGAGCCTGGTTCCTGGGGCTGAGCCCCACCCATTAGGGTGCTCGGGCAGTGGTGGATGCCCCTAGGGTCCAAGGCCTTCTGGTTTTAGTGATGGCAGGAGAAAAACTTAAAAAACCAGAGATACTACTGAGGAGTTGGTGCCCTTCATCCCAGAATCTCCTACCCCGAGAAAAGGGGTGCTAGTAGGAAGCCCCAGTGTGCTCTTTGGACCCCTCCCACTCTTTGAAAAGTGGGGAGAAGGGGCCCTCAAGGAACAAAGAAGACAAAGCACAAATTTCAGAACTTGAATCCAGGCTGCACTTCACAGTCCTGTTACTGTCTGTCCTATTTATTTATGTGTGTTATAATTAAATTCGAAAGTTTAAAGATGTCTGGCGCAACTTATTTATCTCAATGAGTTGAGGACTCTTGTTGCACTGTTTTCTGCTCATGCACCAAGATGTCCAGCTGGACTGTGATGGAGAGGGTATTTTTGCTCACAAAGGGCTGGTTGGGGGTGGGAGGGAAAAAAGATGTCAGGGACCCTGAGGTTGTCGCTGGGATTTTGTATTTACTGTTATTTCTCTTGACCCTGCAGTTGATGTACCTTTCCCAACTCTCAGATTGCTCTCTCATTTCTCTTAATAAAACCTTTTCATTGGATGTGAAGCCCTCCCTGTCCTTCTTCAGTCCAGGCCTGGATTCACCTCCCAAGAAGCCCTGGGAATTAGGAAGGTTTGGAGTGGTCAGGAGCCTCTAAGGCAGAATCATAGGAGGGGGCTGTGGGCACCTGAATGAGAGGGGGTGCGGTGCAGATGGTGGGTCTATCTGGCTTGTCAGTGTGGCTTTTAGTTGTGTGTATGTGAAGTGACTCTTGCGTGTGTATATTTAGTTGTGTGTGTGTGAAGTGACTCTTGCGTGTGTTACCATTGGTGGTAGGTTTTTGTGTGTGTGTAAATGATGGTGACCGTGTGCATGCATGTGTGTGTGCGTGTGTGTGTGTGTCTAAAGGCAACACTAATCCAGCACTCTTATCTTCTAGTGGATTTCACTCTTCAGGCATCTTTTCTTTCCTGTGTCATCAGTCCCACCCCCTTACTAAATAGTCGACTGGATCATTCCCCAAAGCACACGTATTCTAGGGTCTTACCTTACAAAACAAAATCCTTTCCCCATTTCTTTCCCTTACAGTTTAAGTTTTTGAAAGATTGTTACACCCTTAACTCTACTTCCTCACCTCCAATTTACTCTTCAACCCATTTCAATCTGGCTCCTATCCCCACCAGTCTATGGAAATCCACTCAGCAAGGTCATCGATGGCCACAATGACAAATCCATTTTTTTTTTTTTTTTTTTTTTAACTTAGTAACATTTGCATTGTTGACCACTTGCTCTTTTCTGAAACACTCTCTTCTCTGTTACTCCCAACTTTTGGTTTCCTGATCTTACTGGTTCTAACTCTGGCTCCTTCTCCACTTGGCCTCTAACTGCTGGCCTTCCTTGGGGCCTTCTCCCTGAACTCCAGGTTTAGATGAACAACTGTCGGTCTGATGTCTCCACTGGATTGTCTAACAGGCATCTCAAACTTATGTCCAAAATGGAGTACTTGAATCAAGTACTCAAATCTTGACCTCCTCTACACTTCCCTTCTCAGTAAATGGCACCACCCTCTACTACCCAGTTGCTCAAGCCAGAAACTGGAAAGTCATATTTGATTCTGTCCCTATACCCAGCCATCAGAAACTCCATCTTCTTCTATCTCCTCTGCCACCACCCTAGTCCTCTGGACCACTGCAAGTCTTCCAACTGGTCTCTTTTTTCAGTGGTGCACTTTCAAACTAAGGCCCTGCAGGGATCTGGACTTTGCCTACTTCTTCAACCATATCTTAAAGTATTCTCTTCATACTCCCTTTATTCCAGCTATACTGGTTTCCTTTCTGTCCCTCAAATTACCACTTTATTTTATGCCTCAGGGCCACTGCACTCACTTCTCTTTACCCAGAATACTCTTCCCCCAGTTCTTTGCAGGTGTGCTGGCAGAGACAGATGCTGAGCATTCTCCAGAAGTTAAGGGAACATGGGGTCTAGGCATCATCTCCCAGGGTAAACGTCTAAAAATGTGATTTCTTTTCCCAAGAAGCTTCACTACCTCAACCCATTCATATGAAAGGAGGAATGTAGGAAAGCCTGGAAGTATGCTCTGCTTTAACCAAAGCTTTGGGCCCAGCAAGAGACATTCAACTACTAAAATTATTTTAGTCTATGGAGAGTCGAGAGGATTAAATGAGATAACAGACATATAGCATTTAAACAATGCCCAGCACAGAGTAACAAATCAACAAATGGTTGTAAATATCTCTAAGGTGAACAAGGAAGAAACTAGTTTATCATGATCTAGTTTCTCAGTGCTGGACAACTTTCCCTAAGTTGACCATGCAGTCCTCACCAAGTCCTATACTAGAGATAAGAAAATTATGGCTCAGAGCAACTTGCCAAAGGTCACAGAGTAGTATTCACACAGATCTGATTCACTCGTCCCTTCATTTCCATGGCACTCATGGCTCCTGCAGAGGCTCACAGGCCTGAGCCCAGCGAGGGGAAGCAGATCTTCCCAGCCTTTCAGGCCCCGAGGTTCTGCTCTAGTATAAGGTCAGGATCATAACAGTGCAGAGGCAACAGTATAGTGTGGAGACTATAAGTGGTATAAGAAGCTTCTAATGAGGTCTCAGCATTTAATTTTCTCAATAAGTTTTTTTCCCCCTATAGCAAAACAGTGTTTTAGCCTCTGACTACCTAGGTTTAGTCCTAATAAAAAGTAGATGATAATTAAAGAAAAAATACACATGGGTAATTTGCATGGCTTCTTTTTTGCAAAGCAAGTAGCTGCAAATTAAATGGAGCATATTAGGCTGGGTAATATGATTTTTGAAGTTTATACTCATTAAAAAAAAAGACTTTCGTATTTTTAACAATCATAGTGCTCCAGAAGAAATAAGGTAAGAGCAGCCTTTGAAAACCTTCCTTCCCGCAAACCTCGTGAAGGTGAGGCTGAACTACGGGCCTTTCTCCTCTCAAACACATACACACACAGGAACTAAACGAGCAGCAGGCATTTCGAAAGGATCCCGACAATGTCCCTCTTCCTCCTGCTTGGGCACAGATGCTGCTTCAGCTAAAGAACCAAGGCAAGGAGACAACACAAGAAGGATGCTGGGCTTTGGGCATGAACCAGGATTCAGGCAGAGCAGGCTCAGCCACTGTTGCTCAACTAGCAATGCAGAGAGCTTCTCAAGCTACTTCGGCACCCTCTTCCATCTCTTAGAGGTTCCTTGTCAACCTCCCTAACATCTTTACTGGTCAGGGCTTAGCTTCCCTAATCTGAGGCAAAACAATTGCTCTCTTCTATTCCCTCTCGCCCCAAGCCTGGGAGGAATAAATTGTTTTCTGTCTTAATAACCTGAAAGCAGATGAAAACCAATTAGAAGACCACTCTGAGTAGTGTTTGGCTAGGAGTGTTATAGATTCAGTGCATTCACAGTGTTTTTCAAACTTCAGGAAATCAATTTAGGTCATAGCTGGCATTAAACAAAATCTGGTAGAAAAAAGCATTAGAAAGTATCAGTGCACTGCATCATGACTCACACACACACATATACATATCTAGGAAGGGAGTTCCATGAAGCAATGCACATAGGTGTGAAGTCTAAATGTTGGCTGAAGCCATATAAATTCAGTTGGATCATGAGCTTTAAGAGGTTAAGGGGAAAGGGAAATTGGGGAGCTAGGGTGGAAGAGGACTATGAAATGCCTAGCATGTCAAACCAAAGAATTGGACTTTATAAGCAATGAGAAACCATGAGAAAGTTTTAAGTGAGGAGAGTTTTAAGGATGATCAAGTTGTCTTATAGAGAGAAAGGACCAAGGAGGGAAGAGATTAAACGTTGAGAAATTAGGAGGCTATTAAAAGTCCAAGAAAGAAATGATAGGGGATAAATCAGAATAATAGGAATGGAGATTATGAAAAGAGATTTAAGAAGTGAAACCACCAGAACTTGGTGACTATGTGAAGGTAGAGAAAGAAGGCAAAGAAAATGATGCCTACCTAAATGCAATGTGGTATCCTAGAACAGAAAAAAGACATAGTGGAAAACTGGTGAAGCCTGAATAAAAGCTGGAGTTTAGTTAATACTAATGTACCAAGCAATGTTGGTTTCTCAGTTTTGACAAACGTAGTGTGGCTATGTAAGATGTTAACTTAAGGGGAAACCAGGTGAGGGGTATAAGGAAACTCCATTATCTTCGCAACTTTTCTGTAAAACCAAATTTTTTCCAAAACACATTTATTAAAAGTAAATGATACCTAGGTTTCTGGCTTGGGCACTTGGGAGCCAGGTGGCTCTGATATTCTAACATGGAATGCTGTAGAGGTCTGGAGCAGGGCAGATGGTAAGGCTCAGCATCAGACATGTTGAGTTTAATGTCCCTATGGCTGGAGGATGAGATACTTAGGAATAAGTTGATTTGAGGCTCAGGAAAGAGATCTGGGTTAGAGAAAAGACACTGGGAGTCAGAGTGGGCTGATGGGCTTGCCTAGATTGTCCTGGGGACACTTATGTTCAAAGGCAGAGAACCATTTCATTCCTGGGGAGGCCCAGATGCAGAATAACATGTTTACCAATGATGATATATTTACTGAGCACTTATGCATCCCAGGCCCTGTTCTGTATGCATTACCTCATAGAATCCTCATAACCACCCCCATGGGAAAGGTAGAGTTTTGACCATTTTTCAGATGAGAAAATCAGGAAGCAGGCCTGCCTATGCTTGGTAGTGGTACTCAACTAGAGCAGTTATCAGAATCACATGTGGAGCTTCAAAAAATAGATGCCTTAGAAAGAGATTTAGGAATCTAGCCCAAACCTACACATATTTATAGTGGTACTGGAGGTTGAACCAGCTGTGGTCATATGAATCATCTCTTTCCTCTCATTTACCCAATGAGTAACTTTCTTCTTATGGTATAAAGCATTTACCATTGGGGTGCTAAAAAGTGTATGAGATTAAAATCTGATCAATACTGTTAATACAAATGTTCTGAACTGTAGGTAGTATCCTAGAGATATTTCACTTCAGATAAACCAAAAACCTATCTTTATGTGTTATTAAGAGTAGTACAGAACTGGATAAAGTAGGGCTTACCTTACTATTGGAAATGTTAGAAATGCAATCTCAGGCCACACCTCAAACACCCAGAAACTACAGGGGTAGGACCCAGTAGGCTGTGTTCCAGTAAGCTCTCCAGAGGATTGGGATGTATGCAAAAGTGTGAGCGCCAGTGCTCCAAAGAAACTTCAATTCAGTGGTCCTCCATCATGTCTGAAGATGAGAATTACTTGCGAACCTTTAAAAAATACTGTGTCCCAAACCTACTCAGCTGGAATCTGGAAGTGAGTGCAGCCTTATTTTTAAAAGGCGACGAGTGTGTATACACACATGCACATTTTATACATGAATAGCATATCTTTTAAAGGACAAATAACAAATCAGTAGCTGAAGTTCCCTCTGGGAAGAGAAGCAGGTGATCAAATTATAGGAACAAGAGAAACATTTCTTACCATGTATCTTTTACATTTTTCACTAAGTGCATGTATTACCTATTCACATTAATTTTTAAAATTTTAAGCTTACGGGCAAAAAGAACCACTGCTTTAGCGGGAATTAGACATGAGCAAGCTAGCTTTATGAAAGAGCTGAACGGGAAGAAAGCTGGGTGGTGAAATAGAATGTAGGGCTGTGGGCAGAAGAAAGACAGTCCTGGCAGATAATCCTCCCTCCATCTCCCTCCTGAGGTGATGTCAGGTAAACTGAGACTCAAACTAGAAAGTTCAATTTATTCATATTCAGTTTTATTCTGAATTAAGCATCTATCAAGAGTGCACGTCAAAAGAGTAGAAAATTAAGGAGCCCATCAAAAAAAGTTCCCTGGCAAGTGGCAGAGAGTGCATAATGTTAGGAACCCCGTTT